CGGGTGGGCTATGTCGGCTCTAAGGTGGGCTATGTGTGCTCTCAGGTGGGCTATGTGGGCTCTCATGTGGACTATGCATGCTCTCAGATGGGCTATGTGGGCTCTCAGGTGGGTTATGTTTTATCTCAGGTGGGCTATGTGGGCTCTAAGGTGGGCTTTGCTTGCTCTCAGGTGATCTATGCAGGCTCCCAGGTGGACTATGTGGGCTCCCAGGTGGACTATGTGGCCTACCAGATGGGCTATGCAGACTCTCAGGTGGGCTATGTGGACTCTCAGGTGGACTATGTGTACTTTCAGGTGGGCTAAGCGGGCTTTCAGGTGGCTGTGTGGGGTCTCAGGTGGGCTATGCAGGCTTTACTGTGTTTGCTGTGAGGGTTGTGATGTGTCTCACCAGGGGTCCGGAGGTGGGTAGCGTGACAGAGGAGATGTGCGGGCTTGGCTGCGCCTATTTATATGTGCCTGGCTCACAGGAAAATGTGGCATCAGGCAGATGCAGCTGCCTGAGGTCCTGTACTTGCTGGAGACATCCGCCGCCGCATCTGTCAAAAAATCTGAAGTGCCGGTATGGGCACATGGTGTCTTGAGTGCCGGTGGCAGCTGGCTGGAAAACCGGAAACCAGACCTTAAAAACCAGACTGTCCGGGATTCACCCAGACAGGTGGCAACCCTAGTAAGAATTATGACAGTAAGTTCATTTTTAAAAGCAAGCATAATCTTTTGACAGGGGGATGTCATCTTTATAGTATAGATCACTGCCATCTGTATGTCAAAGTCTCCCAACAAAAGAGAGTGCTTATAAAGTAGTATATAAGTGCTGATATAAAGTAACAGTATAAATTGGAAAAAAAAAGTACAATTTTATTATTAAAAAACAGTCCTTGGGCTTAAGGTAGGTGACTTTACCTAGGCTGCCATCAGTCTGCTGCAAGCAGGAGGAAGCATGTCCTCATTCTCCTCTCTCCTAGTAATCAGACTACAACAGTGTAACCTTCTAGCAGGTCATATAGCGAGAGGCCGCATCAGAGGACTGATCTGTCTCAAACATGTGGGAACAGAAACTGCACAGGCACAAGGATTTACATGATTTCTTTATACCTAAGCCAACATTTCAGTCCAGGAATTAGATGGTAACCCTAGATCATGGGTAGGCAAACTCAGAGCTCCAGTGGTTGTGGAACTACAAGTCCCACAAGGCATTGCAAGACAGACAGCAACAGGCATTACTCCCGGAGGCAGAGGCAGGATGGAATTTGTAGTTTCAGAACAGCTGGAGAGCCAAGGTTGTCTACCCATGCCCTAGACAACACTTGAACAAAATTAGATTTGCCCTGATGAGAAAAGCCAATGAAGGCATTGTTAGGGGAGTTACATGTGCTTAATATATAATTAATATAATATTGATAGGTCCACTGTAAATGCCTGTTTGTCAAATTCAGGCATGCCAAATTTCATGAGCAGGAATTAGATTATTGCGTGTTCAGGGGAGGACGATATCTCAGAACTCACTCACACCACTTAGAGCTAGAGGATGTTGACATCCACTGTGATCCATTAAAGCTATACACAAGAGGAACATAGAAGCTTTGAATCATGCATACCACATCCTAATCCACATCAGTTCTGGGTGTACACTATTTTTTATATCCATGTGACCACTTCTTATTAGAGACCCTGTGGTGAGATTACCCAACGTTGTGTGTCCACCCACTCCAAAAAGGCCATATATCAGGTTTCAAGGTCTTGAAGCTGGATTCCATAACTATATAATTATTGTACATTATGGGGAATCCTTTAAGGCCCCATTCACACTGAGCTACTTACCTTTAGCGGTGGATTCGCACGGCCGGGATATCGCGACTGTTCGGGGCGACTATCCAGTGACGGTAGCGGGACCTTCACCATCGGGCTCCATTAAAAAATACAAAAAACTTGCAAAATCCGCCAAAAAAAGGGTCCTGCTGGAGTGACGAGCGACATGGAGCTAAGACAGTTCCAATGAATAGCATTGGCCGCCGACTTCTCGCGATATCGCACAACAAAAATGCGCGATATCGTGGCGGAAATCGCGCGATAAATCAGTTAGTGGGAATGGGGCCTAAAAGAGCATGATTCCATCCTCTGGCTTTTTGTTAGTTGGGTAGAGCTAGGTATTTGATTATGGCTATCTTACCCAGGACGGATAAGAAGTCAGCTTGTCTGCTATCACATAAACACTGCACTATAGGTCAAAAGTGGAGCTGACCTTTTGGTAAGAGTACATATAGCCCCTAAATGCTAGTAATCCAGCAGCAGGACTTCTGGTATACAGACACCTTCTGGTACCTTCATTCACCCTACTTTAAGGTCAGTGCACTCATACCCCAATCATAAGCTCTACTTCAAGGAAAGGATGAACCACACCTCTCATGGTTGCACAAGGATTCACCCTACTTGCTCTTTTCCTCGGCCTACGTCTACTTATTGGTTGCAGAGTGGAATAGCAATCTTTATTGGCCAAACGGAGATGAGAAGAACAGAAAGAGTACAGGCACAAGAACAATGTTCCCTGATTTCTGTAATAAAGCACTGCTGATTTTCTTGGTGCTGGGGTACCAAGTGTCAGTCATCAATACTTTGTGAACTGGTGTTGACTATTGAATGATGAACTGATCTATGCTAAGTGCCCCCTGGTACATGTCAATTTATGTAACGCAAGCTTGTGTCTTTTATGGTCAGTACCATTTATATTTGTTTTGTTGTGTATTTTACATAAGATGTATTCTTTGTAAATCGTTTATAATGTTATGACAAACAAAACATATATGCTGAGCCTTTCAAGACCACACCTAGGGCTATAGGTGCCACCGCTTCAGAAACTGTAATGTAAATTTTGATAGTTGCACTGTAACAGTAATTTAGATTCCCCTTGAAGACTCCAAGAGGGGCTAAAGATGCTTCAGATGTTAGTAGACTTGTTAGGTCATATGGTCAACCCTTTTCAGTGGGCATTTCAGACAGCATGGTATTAGCACATTTGTTCTAAGCTAAAACGATGGTATCAGAAAATTCTCAGAATTGCATATTTGCCACCATATTGAGTCACAGGCTAGGATGCATTGTGTGGAAGCTCTTGATTCTGATAATAACAGAGAAAGGGGAAGGGGGCAATCTGTGTATGACATTGCACTTAAAGTGACACTAAACTCAGGAGTTAAATCTTACAAATGCATTCAAGTACCTTAACTATTAACAAAAAGCCTAGCTCATTTGTGTATCACTCAGCTGTAGATCCTCAAATCATCTCTGAATTGGTGCTGACACTGTCCTTCCTTCTGGAGGGTGACTACTTTTGTTCTCCATGGTCCCTGTGTGTGTTTTAAAGTAGACACCACTCTAAGCTCACTCCTGTGATGGGCTAAAATCTAATGTTTAGTTTATTAATATGTATTGAAATTATAGTCTATCACAGGAGTGAGCTTGGAGTGGTGTCTACTTTACAACACACACAGGAACCATGGGGAACAAAAGTAGCCACCCTCCAGAAGGAAGGACAGTGTCAGCACCAATTCAGAGATGATTTGAGGATCTACAGCCAAATGAAGTTCAAATTATTATTATTAATATTATTATTATTATTCAGGATTTATATAGCATCAATAGTTTGGGCAGCGCTTTACAATATAAGGAAGACATTACAGTTACAACACAAATCAAGACAAGATAGTAAGGAGGGCCCTGCTTGTGAGAGCTTACAATCAAAAAGGATAAGCTAAATTTTTGTTAATAGTTAGAGTACTTGATTGCATTTTTTCAGTTTAGTGTCACTTTAAACCGCTATACCTAAGATAAATGTAATAAAATTCCCTTGCTAACAGTTGCCTCTCTCTACATATCCTGGAGCTGTCTGTCTTCATAGCAGATGCTTCCTTATTGAGTTTAGTACATGCGGAACATTACAGTGACAGAAGCTGCAGGGGGAGAAGAGTGATGGAGGAACACCACTGTACTTGCTGTTCACATCAGAGTAGCAAAAGTCAAAATAACTGCACAAGCACAAAGGTTACCAAAAATATAAATTCTTGGGTGATTGTCTTCTTTAGATAAATGAGGATTCTGATGAAGTAAGGAAGTACGCAGAGCAGATGTGCATAAAAGATGGTGCAATGTGTCATAAAACTCTATTACATCAATGATGACTATAAACTTGGAAAAATACCATCAACCTCCATGTGGTGTGTTTTTCATGACCCAATAACTACTATATTATTTCTGCAGAAAGGAAAAAGAAAAAAAAAACATTTCCATTTCTCTGTTCTACATAACTAACCATGCTCTAAATTTGTCTGTTTCAAATAAAAAAAAAAGAATTGCAAATTTGACCTCGCAGAAGCTTCTTTCGCTAAACACATGAGCAGACCTCTCGCTCTTTTCTGCGATCCAAATAATATTTTTTCGAAAATAATTTTTTTCTTTTTTAAATTCCAATCACGCCCACAAATGTTTGTTTCCAAATCTGATAACTGTAGGATCTTCTTGGCACTAAATCCTTGCTACGATCCAAAGATGAACAGGAAAAATGAAACATTGTAAAATGTTTTCCCTGCTTAGTTTGACCACTTACAACAGGCTCTATAAACCAGTGCATGCGTGTATGTAAGTATGTATGTGTGTGCACTGTGCAAATGACTGGAGATCAGGCTGAGAGTTTTCAAAACTGGCTGTCAGTAAACCAGCATCCCCTGACATGCAACCATTGCCGTTCCCCCTTGCTAAACTAAACTGTTTTCCTTTTCGCCATCAGGATATAATATATCACTGTATATATACATAAGGAAAACACAAACTAAAGCACACAAATTATTTTCACTGCTGAGCTTGGGTGACGCTCGCTAGAATCCTTATAATAATTCACTGCCAGACTTTTACTCTCCAAGCAAAACATTCATAGAAATATTGACCTAAAGCATTAAAATGTAGTAAACAGCAAATATCAGAAAACTCAGAAAAACTGTTATCCTTACCTTCTGTATAGTTTCCACTTTTGAATGAATGTATATCTGCAGGACTGCAATCCTTTCCACAGAATCACTCCCCCAAAAAAAGAAAAAGCATCAACCAGCGCAAGGAAATAAAAGGAAATAATTGTAATAAAAGGTTCCAGAACTGTGGACTTGTTTCTTCTTATTTACACAAAGTAGCTAAAGAGCAAAAGTAGAACTTCAGCTCTCATAACTGTGCTAGTGATAACTCCAACTGGCTTTCAGAGAGAAAGAGAGAGAGAGGGGTCTGGCTGTGTCTGCATTGTAGTCCATCAGCAAAACCAAGTGTTCAAGCAGTGTAAAAAAACAGCATGTTAGCTCCTCTGGCTCCAACCACTTTCATGCAGTCACTGACTCTCACTTTCCCTCTCATTGTTTTTTTTTTTTTTAATGACCAAAGCATCTAGGTTTTTTTTTCTTCTAAGTTAAGCCAGATATCTGTTGAAGTGCCACCTCCTCAAGGGTACACAAAAGATTAACTCTTACCCTTCTCCTTTTTTCAACCTTTTTAAAAATTTTACATACATTTTACAGCAAATCTATAGACTTTGTGTAAACCTCTTCATTTTTTTGTATTATTGTGTCATTTTTTTTGTATTATTGTGATATTAAAGTCAACAGGATTTTAAGCTATTTATAATGCTGAATGAATCACTTATAATGGATGCTGCTCCTTGATGTTTAAAAGGTTTAGTTTCCTGCAGAATCAGTTGGTCTCTGAACACTGGCCCTGAAATTCTGTTTTAGAAGCTGTGTTTTAGGACCCCCTTGCAGGGTCCTATGAAGCCACCCTTCTGCGTGCTAGTAAGCTATGCGTGTCTCCACAAAAACACATCGTATCTTTTAGTAATATCCCCTTCGCACACCCTACCGATGCACCCCAGAATCCAACGGGTGCTGGAACAACAGGTGGATGGTGCCACAGTATACAATCTAGAAAATATGTTGTCCACACACCATTCTGCTTCGGAATATCTTTATTCATATACCTTTAGCATGACATGGCATGCTAAAGGAATATGAATAAAGATGATATTTCAAAGCAGAATGACGTGTGGACAACATATCTTCTAGATCCAGAAACACACAGGTACAGCAAGGCAATCCACCCCCCTGCTCCCCACTCTACCCTTCTCCCTTCACCATGCTAATTGATGGATGGCTGCTGGAGACTGCTCTGTCCCTTGTTATCTTGTTCTTGACAGGAAGTTCATAAAAGCTGAGTTAAGAGAGTTGGAGCTGTTTGGAAACATAATGATTGTAAGTGTTTGGGCAACAATGGAAATAAATACAATACTGGGTAATGTGTATTTGTTTGATCTGGATTAATTATTGAAAAATGTTTGAGAGTTTAATACTAGTAATGCTTCCTTGACAAGCAAACACAAGTTGCTGAGGCTATAATAGCATGTACCCTGTGTGGAAATGTATCCCTTTAACATAAGGTCATTTGGGAGTTCCAAAAAAAAAAAGTGTATATGAAAGAAGCCTACCTGCTGGTCTGTTGTATTTTGACAGTGGCTGGTGTGTCCCTGACAGAATACCCAAACAAGTGGCTGCAGTCACTAAACGGTCAACATTTAAAGAAGATTGAAAAGTCGACTTTTTCTCTATAGAGGCCTTGATGGGGCTGCACGCTACTTGAATTTCAGCCAAAATTAGACCAGTGTATGGCTAGCTTAAGGGCTCATGCACATGGCCGATAGTACTGATATCTATGCAGGATCTTTCTGGCAGAAGCTGCAGTGGAAAAAAAAAGTATCTAATGTTTAGTAAAGTACTTTTGTAAATAATGTTTTAGATGCTTCTTCCATTCAGCTAGCTCAGATTTGCATGTACATGCGTTTACAAGCGTTTAGATGCATACACACTTGAACTACTGACCACAGATGCAGATCTCTCTATATTGATTGAACGGATCTTTATGCAGCAAAGTTTTCTGATGCATACTCAGCTGTGTGCATGGGCCCATAGCATACAATACTGCTGCATTCAGATCTGTAAAAAGCTATAGGGAGAATTCATAAAAACTGGAGCAGACAGAATCTGGAGCAGTTGCCCATTGAAACCAACAGAAAAAACGGATTTGTTATGGGCGCCTCCTCCAGATTCTCTCTGCTCCAGTTTTTATGAATTTCCCCTTATATGATTTACAGCCCTGAACACTTTTTTTTTAAACATCCATGTGCATTAGCCCTTTTCCTGCACTGTATTCAACTGCATAAAATCAACTGCATCCATGGTCAGTGTCTCTGTAATTTATGTGTGTATTTATGTAAACGCATGTACATGAGTAGATGGTGGGATTGAAAACTGAGCTTGAGGAATGGAATTGTATTTAATGATGTGAATGTTTTACAGATATTTACCTGTATAAATGTGTGTAAATAGAAACACTTTACAGACCATTACATTTTTTTGCTTGATCTTGCTAGCAGATATCAGTATTTCATTATGTGTACATGAGCTGTTATCGTTATCAGGTGGACAAAACGATATCACAGTCAGATGATTTTATTCTACTTTAACACACCCTTCTGCTGTTTTTACTAAATAGATTGCCTTTATCTGGCAGCTTTCCACTATGTTTTATAGCTCTAAATTTCCTCGCTCCCACAGATTTGTTTATTTGTATGGCTCTGGGTTACAGCTCAACACTCCTGTGCTTTCTGCTTGGGATTCTGTTGAATTCATAGATTGGTTTAATTAAGCAATCTTCTGCAAATATATATCACAATATACAGTATTTTGGAATAGAAGGCAACATTACATAAGCAATATACATAATAGAATGTATCTTGTGTATGCATACCTACTTTCTGAGATTAGAAAGAGGGACACTCTTTAGCGCAAAGTTTTTAGGGAAAGGAGACACCCCCTGTCACGTCCCCAGTTACGTGGACCATGAAGAATAAATATGCAAGAAATGATTGGCTAAACCCACAAGTGTTTTTTGTTTTTTTTTATCACTAGGATTATATTGGATTTTTTAAATAATAATGTGTTAATAAATAGGTTTATGTGAAAGGTTTAGTGTAGCGTAACACTTTTGGTTGTGAACTATGGCACTTATTACATAGAGGTCTACACCTCAAAAGAGTAGACATGAACTCAGGTTATGACTGAACCTAGTCCAAACCCGGTCCAACCCTAAACTCCTAACAAACTCGGAAGCAGATCCTTCTGTGCTGCCCAATCAGCTGCTGGTGGGGAATTTCCAGCCCCCAGGTTGACATCATATACCTTATATGGCAACATGCCTATATTTGATAAATTACATTTATCTAATATGGCTATGTGGCCATATTAGGAAAATGACATCAACACAAGCATCCTGATCCTTTGTTTACATGCAGATGTGGGGTGGGGAAAGCCAGACAATCAGCTGATTGGGTGAATGTGTGTGCCCATGGCGCTTCCTTGTTGAGAGGAGCTTGGGTTTTGACTGGGTTCAGTGCGAACATAGTTATAGCTAGTTCTTTTTGCGCCCAAGGCAAGAACAAAAAAATGTGCCCCCCCCAACAGGCATGTGACGTCACCCAACACTGCACACATGCGGCATCATGTGACTTCAATAATGTCACTATGCCGCTCAGAAGAAGGGACCCTGCATGGCCGCGAAACGTTGGCTGTATGACGCATGTGAAGATTTATTAAAAAGTGCCTTACTTCTTGCACACAGCTGGTGACTTCTATTATGGACTGTATCTGATATGACACCACCCGTGTTGTCACTTAATGCACCAACCTTTCATCAAGGTATGTATGCTGTATGGAGTGCAGGTGATTTCGTATTATCGTCATGCGATGTCATGCGCCCCGCTTTCAGGATGTGTTTTTTTTTTTTAATGTATTTTCTATTACTTTATTATTATTATTATTATTTTGTATTATTTGGGGAAAATATCAGGGATATAAACAAACCCCTGACATTTCCCTTTTAAAATAGAAAAAGACTCTAGTACAGAGGCTTTCCTATTCATTCAGAAAATATTTACTGTCAACCAGTTTCTGAATGGGGAGAAGCCTCTGTACAGATTGCTACT